CAAGTGTAGTTACAAGCAGACTTTGATTGGGATAATAAACTCTTCTCCCTAGAGGCCAGTCACCAATGCATATTTTGGGACAATATGGGAAAGATAATGCAGCAGCCATCTGTGACCTCTTCTTGGAGTGTATGCCAGAGTATCCTCTAGACAAACCTGATGCTGAAGGAAACACAGGTAGGTGAGACTGGACAGCTATTAAAGTTGAAAGTCACTCAAGTCATATTAAGCTGGACTAATAGGTGGTAGTACACTAATTACACAGTAGAATTTAAACATTGCACTGAAACTGAAGATCTTACCTTTGTATTGAGCAAAGTAATAAGACCTCCGTTCTGTTGATGCTAAAGCATCTGGCTTTTATTTTCCAGTGCTACTACTGGCATATATGAAGGGAAATGCCAACTTGTGCCGTGCAATAGTGAGAGCTGGGGCTCGTCTTGGAGTTAACAATAATCAGGGAGTCAATATCTTCAACTACCAAGTTGCTACAAAACAGCTTCTCTTTAGATTACTGGGTAAGTGCTGCTTGCTACAGTTGGGAAGCGGTTTGGCTTAATTTGAGATGCCCTGGCGGAAGGAAGAGCACTGGACATCTAACTTAGAACCCACTAATTTTAGAAGGGCTCAACTTCTGAATGTTCTAATACTTTTAATGAAGGATAGGAATGCTCATTTTCTAATGATAAAACATTTTTCTAGAAGGGAAATGTTCAAGGAGAATGCTGGCTGGTGTAGTGGTCTAATGTAGCTTAAAACTCAGTGCCACTTTATAACCTGTGCTATATTCACTGCAGTGACTATATATTTTCAACAAACAAGATGACAGCTACTACAAGAGTAGTTAATTCTACTAAATGCCACCTAAAACTGTGGAAAAAGTTATCTTAACATTACGGTATACTCAAGAGGTGTCAAACATGTTTTACCTCTACATTTTTACCTCTAACAGATATGCTGACAAAAGAACCTCCCTGGTGTGATGGCTCCAACTGCTACGAATGCACTGCCAAATTTGGAGTCACAACAAGAAAGCATCACTGGTAATGTGTGACACATCTTGCTGTGCTTACAAGGAAACAGATTTCTATTCCAAATGTAGCTAGTCTTGTTCCTTCTGGTGCTTTAGGAAGCTTTCATTTCAATGTAGGTGGATAACCAGTAAACCATTTGAAATATTCCACTAGGTTAGGCAGCTCAGATCTGACTTGTGGTCTGGTTAAAATCATACCATAAGCAGTTAATGCACTTAGACTATCCTCAATTTGCTGGAAATGAGAAGTAATGCAAAGTTAACTATAGTAGAAGATTCCAGTGCCTATATTCATTAGTGGGGCTGACTTGCTCTGAAAGAAGTGACAAAAAATAGCATTTCAATTGCTGCTCTACCTTCTGTAGTGATGTTATCACTGTGAAAGGACATCGAGCATTAAAACCCCGGTATTCACTGAGAAAGAGCTCACTTCTGTCCTACCACTTTTCTATCAACAGCCGACACTGTGGACGCCTGCTCTGCCATAAGTGCTCAACAAAGGAGATTCCTATCATAAAATTTGATCTGAACAAACCGGTTCGAGTTTGCAACATCTGCTTTGATGTCCTGACTCTGGGAGGAGTTTCCTAGTATGCTGTGGAAGTAAAGGGATTTCCAGTCTGTTTCTGACAGCAGCTCTGCTTACAAGTCCTCTGGATAGGGAAGAGGAGGCCTATACATGTCTTCTGCAATAGACTGAACAAATTAAGGACCCTGTTAATGATATATTCTGGTGTAAATGACTTTGTATGACTGTAAATGTGTTGGGCTGTGATAGACTTCACTAGGAATTCGAGTGGATTGTTGAAACCAAGTGACAAAATAATTTAGACCTTCTAGTTGCAGTGGGGTGTGGAAGCTAAAGGCTGGTGTTTTGAATTGACGTAAAACAGGTCTGTCCTTGAGATGGTGCTTTGCACTGAGCAACTCTATTAAGTCCTGTTGCTTTCAGGCTGCTTAGTAGAGATGGCATTAAGTTTCAGGGTAACCAGGTATCTTTCTTTGCTTTGTCTTAAAGATTAACTTTCCCTTTCTGTAGAGAAGACTTGCTGTGAAGCTAGACTGAGCTGTTACAACCACTGTTCATTTCAAGAAACTCTTCAAAAATGGGAGTTAGTCCTAAGCATAGCTCAATAATTGTGGCCTTACAACAGAAAGCTTTACATCTGATGCAAAGCAGTCAGAATTGCAGATCCACATCTTGATACCTCCTCATTAGTGTTAGCATGTTCAAGAGAAGTGCAAGACTGTTTTAGCCAGAAAATACTATTGCTCATACCTGCTAGAGCTGTCAAAGCCTACTTTGTTGCACTTTCATATCTCCATGACTAGTCCTTCCAATTCATGAAACTCGTGTAAATGACCTTAAATGCGCTGAAGGGCCGAAGCTTCTGCTAAATGAAGAAACACTAAAACTGGTTAAGTAGTCTAAGTCGCCATACAGCAATAAATGCTGAAGTGCATTATGAATTCCATGAGGGAGAGAGGTGCTTTCCTTTGGTTTGGAGACCCTGATTAACCTGCTGCAGGAGAGGCAGTAAGCTCAGAATATGCTGTGTCTCTGGGTCCAGTCTGAGCAGGATTGCCAGCCAGTGGGAGTGTATTTGGAGGTTTCCTGTTAATATAAAGCCTCTGTTGTTGAGGGAAGGATTCTGAACTGGCATTGGAGAGCCAGGCTTCTCGGTTATGCTGCAGTACTTTAATCTAAGCTGGTCACGTTCTCTTAAACATGCTGAATCTGTGAAATGCTTATGCCACATTGTCTAGGAAACCAATCTGCTAATAAACAAGGTTGTGGTTTGGCAGGCAAAGGCTTCAGTCAGAAGAAAATGTGTGTTTAAGCAGAACTGCATGCCATGTTAAGGCTTTCTTCATCCTGAGAGATCAATCTAGTTTAGACTGAACTTAACATTCCTCACCTCTGTTCCATGAACTGGTACGTGTTTGCTTGAAGACTGGTATATGGAGTGTTCAATATGGAGATGATGGTGACACATTGCTCTGTTTGCTCTTAAGGGTTAGATGAGATGATAAACCAGACTGCTGCTTTTATAGGGGACTTGCCTGAGGCTTTTTCTCAATTTTGTACAAGAAATGATGGGAGAGGGTATAAACACTATCGTTTGCACAATGAATTTCACATCGTCTCACTTGATCTGCACTTTGATCTTCCAATATGCATATAACTGGAATCTCACTCTTTGAACACTAGAAAAGAGTAATGGATGATGCAATACAAATTTCCCTTACTGTTTTATGTCTGCTGCTGGCATGTTCCAGTAGAATGCCCTGTATAATGCAAATGGTCTGTGTAGCACCATTCCTAATATAAATGGTGCATTTCTGGCATAATGTCAGTTGCATTTTATGCTTAGATGAATAAGGTGGGAGATAATGGTGTCTGAAGCATTTAACTGCATGCTACAGCTTGGTGGAATAGATTGTGGAAAACATTTTCTAGTCAATGTCTTTCTGTGCTTCAAAATAACACTGATTGCAAGTCTCTGGCAATGAAAGATAACAGACTGCTGGAGAGAGTGCATTAGGCTACAGAATACCTGACTACAGTGCATTGCATGTTATCATGATAGCTTCTCTCCTGGCTTTGAGCTGCAGTGCTTGAAAGACTTAAACATTGTGGTAGAGGGGTGTCCTTCTAGGGCTGCAGCTGGTGGACTTGATCTAAATTGGAAAGCTCCACAACATTTAAGTGCTTTGGCAATTACATTTTACCTTTTGGGTGACTTCCCTGATGGAAGAGGTAGGAGAAGAGGGATTCTATTCCAACAGAATAAGCAGCTGTTCAAATATTTAAAAAAAAAGTCTTAATGAAAACGCAGTTAAACTGAACGTAAGGTTAAGACTGGCTAGTTGCTCTTTTTTTTTGTAAGCAGAGTAAGAAATAAGACTGCCTGAAACTTTGGGAAGTTCCACAGATCTGTAATTAATGCTCCGTTTGCCCTTTCCAGCCAATATTCTACCAGCTTGATCTTTCCTACTGAAGTCTGCAAGCCAAGTTCTGAGTATGGATAAAATAATACACAGCCTGAGACATTCATTTAAATTCAAAGCAACTAAATATAGTGAATTTGATCATTTTTAAAGTGCCTTTGTGATAGTTTCCTTACAACCAACTCTACATAGCTTTCTGCCGGAGTTAAAAGGGAAAAGCTCACAACTTGAACCAAAATCCCCGTTTAGTTCTCATGTAGTTCAAACTTCAGCTTGAGACGTTGACCCCACCAAGCAACTGGTGGGGCTCAGTCCTTTATGCACTCTGCATAGTATTGGTCTGAAACATCAGATCTCAGATTCTTTTGGAGTTTTGCTGGCAATGCTCCACTGCAGAGGAGAAACTGTGAATGGAGGCACTTGGTAATTTTGTAGTGGTCAGCACATTTCTATCTCCGTAAGCAAATGCACTTCCTTTTTGTAGCATCCTGCAGTTGTGACCAAAAACCCCACCCCTCTTCCCACTGCTGTCTTTAAGTGGTATCTATTAACTCGAGACTTGAGTCTGCCAAGGATTGAACAGAAGGGTACAGAGAAAAGGAGGTGTCCCTGGGAAGCAGTGCTGTCAGAGCAGGCTTTGGGCACTTCAGCAGGGCTGCATGGAAAGTCCATGATAGTTCATAGTGTAGCTTTTTGTTCCGAGTCTGGATTCCTTCTGATTGTAGTCATCCGGCACTTTTATACAAGCACAAAATGTGGTCTGGCTTAAACTTCAATTTATGTATCTCTTTGAAGAAGGTGTAATCACTGCTTCGCACCACTAAGTGGAGTGAGAATGTTAGTGTTAAAGGTACTAACAGAGCGTAGCGAGCTGCTTGCTAAAAGTTGACAGATGCCTTAATGACTTCCTGTGCTGGAGATCAATGGCTCATCCAACTTCTCACATAGTGCTTCTAAATTAACATGTAATGACATGGGAGGCCCAGGCTGGAATTTTTTCTTAGTAGGCAACTCCTTTTTTTTTTTCTTTTAACCAGCAGAGTTTGAATACTGCAGCAAACTTGGTTAACTCAAAGCTTGTATGAGTGATTTAAATAAGTAATTGAACCTTCTAGCCTCTGTGAAATAGAAAAGGAAGTCTTACAACAACGGCATTTTATCTGCAATGTTTGTCTGGAGTCATTGTAAAAATGTATTTTTCCAATATGCATTACTTTGTTGTGTAATAATTCTACTTGTAATAAAATGCATAACTAAATAATGCATCATGAGGTGGAAACCTTGCTGAGAAAGTATTTTCTCTGGTGGAGACAGCTGCCCTGCTCCGAGCTGCTGTTACTGACCACGAGGACATCCAGGGTTGTAAGATTTAATTGGGCCTGACAGTTTATTCTCTGCAGTTGTCCTAAGTCTCTGTTTCCATGTTGTGGAGTTATTACAGTCTTTTGGCTGACAAGGCCTGTTGTTCTCCTAGTTCGTGCTACATAGTCATCTTGATTGCCTTACAGTAGACACTTATCTATAGAACTTGTTCAACAGTCCTAACTTCCTGCAGGCCAGAACTGCTCAGCTCAGATGCACTTAAATGGACAAGTAGGGCTGAGCTGACTCTAACATACTATTTGTGCACTGTCACATACTGGCAGGCACCTTCTCTCTGGAAGAGCATGCAATTACTGCAGCTTCACTCCAGAAAAAGGAAAGTAGCAGCGACAAGACCAGCCAAAGTCGTTTTGAGATTGTGATGCATTAGTCTTAATTAATTTTTAAAAGTACAGCTACCAGAGGTGAGTTGTGAGCTTTATTAAGTACAGTCTTTCTTTACTACATCCTGTTCAATTGTTTTCCCTTTCACAGGAGAATTTAGTTGAGGTTTTGAATTAGGATAGTAGAAACAATATGATTTTCTTGGAGCATTTCAGGGAGTCTCCTTGTTTGCCTTAATAAATGACTCATTCCTGGGGCAAGACTGAAACTTTTTCCCCTAGTCTTTCCAACTAAACCAAGAAATAAGCTGTGAATTAGTTTTCCAACCTGTCAAGCAGCACCACCACAGTTTCTAAAATCTGCCTTGCTTTCTTACAGCAGCTTACCTGACTTTTGTTTAGTTCTTAAGATCAAGTCCATTCCCTCAGCATTTCAACACAATTTTTGCAAGGAAGAGCAGTTTTAAGGATAAAGCATGATGAAACCTGCTTGGAGGCTACATAGCTGGTACCTTCAGTAGGAATCTAGCTTCTCAAATAGATTGGAACTTAAAAAATATTCTAGTGTTTAATAATTTGGAATTTCTCTAACTTTTGCAGTTGCTTTTAAAGACACTCACCCCTTGATTAAATCGTAATCTGATTGAATTTTTGAGGGTAATTTGAGGTTATCTGTGCTGTTGACCTCTAAATACAAGTCCTTGCTATAAGGCCTGTGTCCAAAAGTAAATAATAGGCTGACTTCAATAATGCTTCCATTGGGACAAGGAAGCACTGCTTTGTAGCCCTTCCGGCAGCTTTTGCACTGCTTTAGTATCTTTAGGATTGTTGCATAAAGTTGCTCAGTCCAATCCCAAAGCTGGCACAAGCCTGTGGCAGCACTTCAGTTCTGGAAGGATGACTGAGGAGCTGAACAGCGTGATGGCTCTGCTGCCATCTATCTAGAGAAAACTTCCAGTGCTGAGCAGTGACAGCTTGCAGCTCTGACTGGAAGTGCTGTAGGGGACTCTTCCTACAGAGGGTCGTGGAAAAGAAATAACAGAACCAGGTTACAAGCAAAAAAGAAAACCACCAAGCATCAAAATAAGCATATACAGCAATTTAAACATGTATGGTTCTCATCCATGGCAGCTTTAGCATCATTAAACACAGTAAGTGAAAAGTGCTGCAACATGTTCCTGTTGTTGCTGCAATTAAGTGATTATTCTTGCTTTTAATGAATGTTGCTGAGCCTCCTATAATCCCACTAGTTTATTAATTAATTAGCTCTGTGTGGTTTTCTTTAGGAGTGGTTATAGCTCAAAAGCCTTAAGAGCTTATAAATGCTTCCCAGCTTTTTATAAATAGGTGGCAGCTGCCTTTAGAACTGGCACAGCTCTGCACTAAGCTGTGTTCATTGCTGGGCTGTAGTTAATCCAGGTGCCTCCCAAGGCTGCAGCTGCTCTAATAACCCATTCTCACAGTAGCCTCTAGGAACAAATGCAGCTGCCTCCCCACAGCCTGCATTCATAGCTCCTACCCCCCCCGTCCTTTGCAACCCTACACAAAACTGGTAAGATTTGCCTTGTTCTTCTGGAATTAACAAAATGTAATGGATTTTGACAGCTGTGATAAAACACATGCATCCTTCAAATAAGCTGGGCTTGGTGAAGGTGGATCAAGGTTATAGTCTGATGGACACGTAACAAATGGGAGATAATAAACCAGAATGGAAACAGGCAAATTACATTGGGATGGTCATACTGTATGTAGATTTTATTATCACCTGGTTCAAACTGCAGGGCTGGGTAGCTTTAAAGTAGTGAATCACCAAAAAGGGATGGTGAGGTCAACTTTAAGCAGCAATCCTCATAGGTGGTGTCCATTATCTTCTTTGCTCAGTATCTAGTACAAACATGAAATAAGGAAATGCAGCTCTGACCTTTGCCTTCTGTATTCATGGATCTGATAAGCAGAGCTTGTACATGAACTGCACAAGTTCCAGGATGCTACACACTGCAATTGTAGGAGAAAGTCAGGCTTCTCCCTGCTGCTTTTAATTCTTCAGAGCAGAGCAGTTGTCTGGAAAGGGGCAGTAGCAGTAAGCAGACTTCAGGTGACATTGGAGGATTGTGCATAAACTGAAGTCAGTGATACTGCTGTAATTCTTGCTTGCTGCCTTAAAGCACATCACATTATGCTCACCACTGTACACACAAATATCTGTTTCCTGGCTGTAAAAGAAACACATTTTTAAGTATAGCTCAGGCTGTACATCTTACAGTTTATCACCAGATGTAAAAATACTGTGGGGAAAAAAGCACTAAGAAAAAGTGCCAGTTTTTTAGCCAGTAATTATCACTTGGCTCAAGTGTTTCTTCTCCCATCGCCACATGTTAAAAGTCACAGAACATGAAATTGCCATCACTCCCTTTCCACAGACAGACGGGAGGGAATGAAGCTGGAATTACCCACCTAAACACAGTGTATCAACTGGAGCCCTTCTGGCCCCCTTAAATCACAGTGTCACATGCTGAGGATGCACTGCTCAGCCTGTGGGTGGCAACCGTCGTATTCTTGCAGATGGGGGTTATCCAGGTCGCCTCGGTCGCTGTGCTGGGCTGAGCCCTGCTGGCCCCACGGGGGGCCGCTGGTTCTCACACACACGCAGTGGCTTCCCCTCGAGCCAGGCCTGTACAGCTTCCGGGGCACGCCAGTCCAGTCTCTGTTTACTCCCCCACTAAAAATGGAGAATTAAAATAAATTACAATTCAAACATCCAATTCAGAGCCATGAAATGCTTCTGGGGAATACAGAATCAGGTAAAAATTCAAAACAGTCTGGGAGATTAATATCGCACGTGCTGAGACAGACTTTGCTCCCAACATCCCACTGCCTTCTGATACTGATTTATCAGCTGAAACCTGTGGCTTGAACTTGGTTTTACCAGTGCAGCTACATGCTCTGACCCATCTGAGAGCGACCAACTTCTGCTGTTTCTATTAAGGGAAAAGGAATCATGGCTGTATGTGGCACAGAGTGCCTAATGGAAAAATGCCTTTTTTGGGGTAGCTAATAGCTCACAGATGACTACGTGTTGTCTTTGGTGAACACAGTGATTTTGAGAACTAGGGCAAAAGCAAAAAAAAAAAAAAAGAGGTCTCCAAGTATTTCATAGTGTCTCTTTATGGGCCAAGTCCTGTCTGTTCCCCTAACTACTGTCTTTTATCAAGCCTGTAAGCTCATACATGAGAGACTACACATAACACCCAGTCCTACGACTGCAAACAAGCTCATTCTCACATAGGAGCAAAAGCAAGGTGCACAGTGCTAGCATACCTTGCTCAAGCATTTTCCAGTGCAGTCTGTGATTTCAGCTTAAAACAAAGTGGTTCCCAATCCAAGAGAGGTATACAACTAAATAGGATAAGTAGGAAATGACTGTTCAAAGATCTATCTTATTTTTATGTGGTTTTAAGAAGGAACTGTTGTGGCATTGCCTGTGAGACAGGCTGTGAAACCTCAAAGAACAGCAGCTGATCTTCGGATTCATCATGGGTGAGAAGACCTGCCTGAATGCTGCTAACAGCTCAGTGGGATTTCTGACCTGCTTTCCTGAGTGCAGGGCGATTGCATGCACGTAGGGCAACTTCTGAAAGCTGATTTGGATTCCAGTGTGACAAAAGCTTTTGCCCCAGAAATAAAATTCCTGAAGGTGTCAATGATCAGGATGAGTCTCAATTTTCTTTTTAACCACTCTCCATGTCGCCGAGCAGAACTCCCCCTCTGCTGCCTCCCACTGGAAGACAGTTACCATCCCACTGTGCTCCTCCAGGCTGCGTGGAGGCTGTGACTGAACCAGCAGAGGGAATTAATTCACACAGAAACAGATAAACCTGGCACAAAGTGCTGGTGATGCTCATGGTGAGTTGGCTGAAAGCACAGCCTCAGTAATACAGGCAGAGGGGACCGTGTCTGTGTCTGCAATATTCCAGCCACACCAGCCCTCAGCACATCAGGACCAACCTGATCTCTTCTGTGAGGAAGCCACAAGACCCCACCTAAAGGAGCCTGGACACCTTCTAGTTGCCACTTCTGCTATGATAAAGCTGTGGGTGCTCAAACAGAGGGGCAGAAATGCTCTGCTCCAAGGGGCCCAAGCATGGCTGCAGGAAAGCAGTACTTACCTCTGCTTGGAGCACCAGAATCGGCTGCCCTTGGCAGAGCTCCACTCAGAGTTGCAGGGTGGAAACTGCTCCTTCCACTGATCGCTTTCTGCTTTGAACTTCAGCCCTTCCTCGATGGCAGCCTCAGCCTGCCTTAAGGCCTCTGTCGGTGCCCCATTTTCATCATAGAATCTGCCCACCAGCTTCCCTTGGAGAGAAGAAGATCAATTAAGACCACGTTATTTCCAGGCAAGGAGTGGGCTGCCCAGAGAGGTGGCAGAGTCTCCTTTTCTGGAGCTATTCAAGACCTGTCTGGATGCTTTCCTGTGTAACCTACTGCATGGAACCTGCTTTAGCAGGGGAGTGGATCTGATTATCTTCAGAGGTCTCTTCCAACCCCTACAATTCCAATTCTCTGAAAGTGACTAATTTCTGTGGATTGTTCTTTTTTTTCTTTTTAAATTTGTTATTTAAAGACAAAAAAGAAAATAATCAAATAATCACCACAGGATCTTCGCAGTGGCTTCATTTTGAAACAGAACTGAGCTACCTCCCTTCACGTCATGGGTCACACAGCAGCTTACACGTTATAAACCCACACAGGACAAGCTTAGCAACTCTCTGAAGTGATCAAAGTCAACAGCACTTGCCCGGCTCCAGGACTTGAGCTCAGCACCCACACCCAGGTGACACAGGTGGCAGCCACCTACCCACACAGGCGTAGTTGGTGCTGTAGAAGGACAGCCAGCTCTGGATGGTGAGCATCTCTGCCGGCGACAGCGCAGACACATCATCCACCAGCCCTGACGGGGTGAAGTCTCCAGTCGCAAACGCTCTGCTGGCATCTCTTCCTGTGGCAGACAACGGGACTGTCAGCCCTGGGGTCCCCAGAGCTCCACAAGGCCACAGGGAGCCCCACCACCCTGACAGCCCCAGAGCTCTGCAGGACCCCAGAGAGCCCCAGAGCCCTGTCAGGTCCTGGGCAGCCCAGCACACTGTTAGCCCACAGGAAGCCCCAGAGCCCTGTCAGGCCCCAAGCAGCCCCTCAGAGACCTCTCAACGCCTGAACCTAAGGGTCCTGACAGACCACCCCCCCCCGCCTTCGCCCACCCACCTGCTAGGCCGCTGTAGGCCCCGCCGGGGCCGTAGTGCCTGCGGCCGGGCTGCACATCGAAGACGCGGCCCAGAAGGGCGAGGTAGAGGCCGGGGTCCCCCGGAGCCCCGCGGTGCCGCCCCAGCTCAGCGGCGCTCAGCAGACGGCCGCGGGGCCGCAGCCAGGCGCGGGGATCGAACCCGCGGCCCAGAAGCCAGGCGGCGCCCAAGCACAGCACGGCGACTACTACCGCACCCCGCCGCATGGCAACGCCGCTTTTTTACGACAGCTTCGCGACGGCGTTGCGCGGCGCCTGACGGCAGCGTGGCGGGAGAGACGCGTGCAGCGCCGCGCTGCTTTACGGCCGGTGTCGTAAAGGGGCGGGGCGGGGCTTTGCGGGGCCGGGCGTCGCTTGGCGGCAGTGTGGCGCGGCCGCCGCCGGCCGGGCGCTGACAGGTGCGGCGGGCGGGAAGCTGCTGACTAAGCCGGGCCGGGCGGAGGCAGAGGGAAGAGGAAGGAGAAGGAGCGAGAGCGGCTCTGCCCGGCGTCCGGCCGCAGCTCGACGCCCATGGGGACGGCGGCCAGCCACAGCAGCGAGGAGGAGGAGGAGGGAGCCGAGGAAGGCATGGAGGCGGCGGCTCAGCCCGGCGATCCCTTCCCGGCCGCCAGCCCGGCTCCTCCGCTGCCGCCCGCCGAGGTGCTGCTGGAGCAGGCCCGGCTGCGCGAGGCCACGGCGCGGCTGAGGGAAGCGGCGCTGCCGGAATCGCTGGTGTCGCGGCACCACGGCGCGTTGGTGCGCTGGTTGGAGGAGCGGCTGAGCCGCGGCGACGAGGCCGTCAGTCTGGAGCAGTTCTGCGAGGTGCTGGAGAGCGTGTCCCGACTGACGGCCGGGTCGCGCGGGGAGAGCGAGGAGGTGAGCGGCCGGGGAGCGCGGAACGGGGAGCGGCGAGCGAGCGGCCTCGTGAGCCCGGCCTGCCCCGCCCGGCCGCAGCGTGCGGAGGGCCGTGCGGCGGTACGGTGTTGTCCCGCCCCGTAACCCAGAGAAGGAGCGGTTCGGTGTCTGCCCCGTCGGTGCGGGAAGCGCCCTGGGGTGGCTCCGGTGGGAGTTTGCTGCGCTTCGTTTGATTGTTTCTCTTTAAAATCGGCTGTGAAGCCGCCCAGCTCCCCTCGTAGCACCCCGTTGCACGGTGGGAGTCCGTGCTGTGTGCGACAGGAGGGGCGAGGCCTCGGTGGTAGGAAGGAGCGTGGTTTCCTTTCGGCTCTGCAAAGGGATACGAGAAGCTGACGGCCGGAGCGCCAAAATGTAGCACTGCCCTTTGTGCCCGTTCTAGAGCCGCACTCCAGAACACCCCATCGGGACTTCCACAGCTGCTGAAGGAAGTGGCGGTGTCCAAAGCTGTTTCCTCATGCAGTTCCTGGGACTCCCCGGTGTCTCCCTTCAGCCTTTCTATGGCTCCCTAAGTGGCAGGATAACTCGGGAAGCTGACCTTTGAGTCGCATGTGTGCTCCTAGAAATGAGTCAGTGCTGACATAGTAACCAGTTACTGGGAGGAGGTTGGTGCTGTCATACACACTGTGGTGTTGGTTCCAGGCTGCTTCTCACAGCTGGCTGAAACGCTGCCTCTGAATTTACCCTTACAATCACAGAATCATTAAGGCTGGAAAAGACTGCTACAATCACTGAGTCCAACCATCAGCCCATCCCCGCTGTGCCAACTAACCTCAGTGCCACGTCCAATTCCTTCCCAAGAGCCATTAACCAACACTTCTTAACCTCTCACAAGTCAGAGAGTGATATCAGTACACTGAAATTCTCTCTGTTAATACAAGCGACTGAGTTTTGCAGGCTAAAGAAATACTTTGGGGGTTGCATTGCTCATCTTCCTCTGCATGATAAGTATGGGGCTTTTTTTCTCTCCACATTCTAGGAAATGAGGAAAAAGTGTGTCATGGGATTTGTGCTGGGGTGGGGGTGTGGTCACAGCTCGTCTGTACTGCTGCAATGTGGGGATGTAGGGATGTGTGTGGAAAACCCTCATTCATTGTTTCTGCAGCTGGCAGGAGCCCATGGGCTGGAGGATGTTAGGTTTCCAGGATCTGCTTTCTGAGAGTGAGGTGTTTGCGGGTGGCAGGGCAGAAGGTTTCCACTTTTTGACATTTACAGAGTTCTGCCTGGCACACATTAAGTTCTCACCTCCCATTAAGTTCTTCTGTTCTCAGTCTGGGGCTTTTGAACGCATTTGTTAAATGCTTTATGGGCAAAATAGACCTCTGTCTGTTGGCTAGTTAAATTAAACCTTTCTTAATCTATCAGTGCTTCACCAGTGGCTGTGGAATGTATACAACTTTTGCTTGAAATGTGGATGCTTCAGTTGTACTGAGTGCAAAGAATGGAATATAGAGTCTTCCTTGGTCACACCTGAGAGACACTGCGTTGTGCTGTCCTTCTGGAAGCTAAAGGGAAGATTTATCTACATACCTCTTTTCTGAGATAGGTTACCCCATGGTCATGGTTGAGCTTCGTAGGAAACTTTAGGATTTAATGCTTTTATTAAGGAGCAGAATAAAGCTGGGCTGCAGTGAAGCTGTTCCTGCAGAAGTAACTGTGTCCCACACATGAGTGCAGCTCAGGAGCTGTGTCTGCACACGGGGTGGGTTGGTTGGTACAGCCCTGTGCACAGCAGTGTGGCAGAGCAGTGGAAACTGCCAGTGCTTTGTGTCAGATAGCACTGAAGTTACACTGAGCAGACAGAAATAGTTGTAGACTTTTGGGGTCGGTGAGACTATAGATCTGCTGAGGTCACAGGAAGGGTTTAAAAAAGAAAGCTGCGTTAATGTGCAAAGAAAATGTCAATGTGGTAATCTCTTTGTGCATGCAAGTGTCAGGTGTTGGCTTAAAGCAGTGCTTGGCTGCCCCAGCCTTATCCTATGCGACGTTTATTCTCAGTGGTAGCATCCCAGAGCTTGCTTGCTTCATGGGTTAGTGATTATACAGCGTGACCCCAGACAGAGGCAGGAGAAGTCATGTAGTAAAGCTGTGCCTTCATTTGTTTTGGCACTGGGTCTGTTTGTTAAAATGAATTCCCTCTATTGTCCTCGAGCAAAGGCCCCTAGCTCTGCTTGGGGAGCTTCCCCTGCCCAGAACCCTTCATGTACATTGCAAGGAGCTGGAGCTGTCAGCAGGGCTCCAGCTGTGAGCTCACATATGGACCTGCAGAGCCCAACTTCAGCTCCACAAAAGTGCCACCACAGCTTCAGCCAACTCAGATGTCGTGCTTCAGCTCGGGTGCCTTCCGAGGACTTTGCTCTCATTTGGTGCTGTAATTATGTCACGGTTAATTGGCAGGTTATTTTAATCTAGTCATCTCAGATTGTTTCTCTCTAGGATATTGCTTTTATAATGGTACATTGGGTTTGATAATGAGGACCAAACAAGTCTCGAGTGTGGGCTTCTTCCTGAGCTTTGTGCTTGTTGGACACGTGGGCTGCTGGGTTTAGAGGCTGGGTGGCTTGCTGTGTAGCTGAGTGTGGAATACACTTATATTAGGGTCAAAATAAATCAGTCTGGCAGCGGTTCACTTCAGAAAGAAAATAAAGTCTTGTAGACTTCTACCTGGTTTCATTCTTTTCATAAATGCTTTGGTAAACTGTCTTCAACTGGCGTTCAGTGCAAGAAAACAGATGATGGAAGGGAATAAACATCAAAAAAATGTAGTTCTGAGAATTTTTCTTTTTTAAATAAAGGAAATATCATAGAATCATAGAATGGTTGGAAGGAACCATTCAGATCACCCAGTCCCACCTCCCACTACACCAGGTTGCTCACAGCCCCATCCAGCCTGGCCTTGAGTGCTTCCAGGGAGGGGGCATTCACAACCTCACTGGGCAACCTGTTCCAGTGCATCACCACCCTCACAGTAAAGAATTTCTACCTAACAGTTAGTCTAGAAACATGTAAAACCTGAAAGATTTTGAATGGATGCAGTGTGAAATGGATGTGGACCTAATGAGTAATGCATTGTAATGCTTTTAGAACAAACCTGCCATTTAATGGAAGAGGGTTTTTCATGTTCTTTCATGAGCACCTTCTTTGCAGTCGCAGATGTTGGGTGGATGGATACTGCTGATTCACTGGTGTGGATGATGTGCTGTCTCCACCTAAGCATAGCTATGGTTGGCTTCAATAGGAATGCAATGCAAATGCCTTAAAACCTGCTAAAGACTGCAGATTTTCAACCAGGCTGTGTTTGCTCTTGTCATAAATTCAATGCTTCAGCAAACAGACTTTTTTGATTTTAATTTAATGGTGTTGTAATGTTCCACTGTTGCTAAGGTTTACATGAAGTATGTTGAAGGAGAGATGCTGAAATAAAGGTTCCTTTTTTTTTTTTCCCTGTCAGGCTTTTGCACAATTTGATGCTGAAGGAGATGGCACAGTAGATGTGGAGAATATGCTGGAGGCTCTGAAAAATTCCAGTGGAGCTAATCTTCAAGGGGAGCTGAGCCACGTCATCAGGCAACTGCAGGCTTGTTCACTGGTTCCAGGTATGGGGACAGCATGGAACAAATGGTTTCCCAGGTCCCGCCCCTACGTAAGGAATGCTGCTTCAGTGAACTGCTTTAGTAGTGTTTCTTATCCTAATCTTCTCAAGCCTCTACTCCAAGCTGTTCTCGTTGCCCTCGTGTCAAACAAGTGAAGTCACTGTAAGTTTAAACCTTCACATGACATTCAGCTAAAACACTTCTATAAGCGACTGATACTTTCTCTGTGTGGTTGTTATCCTTCTATAGTTTTTCTCAGAGACAGAAAAAAGTTTCTTGCAGAGTTTTGGTAAAGCAGTCACAGCCTTATACTTGATAGCTAGAATATATCCTCTGCTGAGTCTATTTCAGGTGATGAGTCACATACGTTATCATGATATTGTTATTTAGATCTTGGAATCCTACTAAAACAAATTTGGAATTTGATAGCTTTTATTTTTGAAAATGACAGTTTTTGGAATCTGGGTTCTGGGATAAGTATCAGTTGCTGTCATTCCTCCCAGGCTTTTAATGATTAGTGGCTAAAGGGGATTTGCCTTGGAGGATCAGACAAGAAGTGTTAGAACTGGCTAACAGCTAAGCCATCAGGAAGTACTTAGGGAGCATTGTTTGATACACCTAAATGTGCTGTGATGGAGAATAACACAGAAGCTGAAATCTCTTATGTAGATGGTGGAAAGCATTAGGGTTCTCTTTGGGAATGATCCACAGTGCCAAAGGGAGCTGCCTAATATAGCTCCAGGTGAACAATGTGAGAAAGCAGCTCTAAACCAAGCAGGGTCTGTTTCACCTAGATAGTGAAGATGAGGGTT